TTAACAATATAAAATATAGTGGTGTGCTTTGCGATATAAAGCACATAAGCTATACTACTGTAAAAATTGAAGAAATGCGAATGTTAAACAGCATAATAAATTATCAATAAACAAATAAAGGGCAAAATTTCAAAAAGCTACAGTATCATAGATATGAAAATTATGTAATGAAAGACTCCAAAACTGGTTATAGTAATTTGTCTCAACTTTTAAAAGTGATTTTTACATAAAAACTTGCCTTGTTTTCAGATAGAACTTATCGTAAAACAATACCATATCCAAATGCAATTCTATAATATATTCTTTATACATGAGAGTGAAAAATTCTGCCAATATAACAGATCCCCCCTTCTTGAGGAAGCTCAATTATGCTTCTTGCTCTTGATGGAGATTTTATAAAAATTCACAATAATATTAGGGTAGTTTTTTTTTTTTTTTTTTTTTTTAGCACGAGGTAAATTCTGTATTTTATTTCTTCTACACATTCTAAATTTTTCTTAAGAATCATATTTTTAAACTTTAAATTATAATAAATCATGAATATTTAGTAAAATTTGTCATTCAGTAGAATAAAAGTGGGAGATAGTAGCTAGACACATAGTTTTGTTATGAAATTTCAGTAAAGAATATGCAACAAAATACCATGCATGAAACTAGCCATTTTTGCATTTATGTATGGAAATGTCAATCGATCAGAACTTATCCTACGAGCTACACTATTCTACACTACAATATTTACAAGTGAACAGGCCACGTGTATACATAAGAAGGAGCGTATTTCTGACGCAATACATTTTAAGGAAAAATAAAAAATAAAATTCAGAATTCCAATGGATGAAAGGTAAGAGAATGGATATACAGAAATATGGCAGCATTACAAATTCCAGACAAAGGAATAAAACAATGATTATTTTTATTACTAAGTGACTTGTCAAATATGGATCAAGTTATACAGAGAAATTCAAATTACAAGTGGTGCATTATGACATCAACAAAATTAAAAGTAAACAACAGGAAGAAAGTTTGACTAAGATGGGGGTGGGTGGGAAAGTGCAATGATGATTTCAAACAGAGTCAAATTCAGGAAACTAGATTTCCATGTCTATTGAATGATCCAGTTAAAAGTCCAAAAGACTGCACAAAATAAAAAAAAAATCTTGAAACTGATTTTAAGGATAGTCACAGCTGTGCAAGATGCTTCATGGCATAACATAAGCTTGTGTTTCAGCATCAAACCTATTTGACACAGCGTCTTTCTGATACTTACCAATAGAAATTACTTGCATTTCAGAAACATGTCTTGAACTTAAGTGAGGCACACTGCTATGACTGGAGCAGCAGACAATGCTCACAAAACTTGTATTTTCTTTTATGTGCCAAGTTCAGTCAGAGAACAGTAGTAGAAGTGATGTGGTGTATTTAATTATGGCAAAGCACACTAGGGCTATCTGCCTAAGGGGAGGGATGCCTTTGTGGAGGACTTTCTAAGGGAAACTGGCTCGTATACACGTTACACATGGGGAAAACCACGAAAACACCCATGTAGCCAGCCCGTTCGTGGGATTCGAACCTCAGACCGAACTACCAGTGTTCAGCGACTTTACCGCTCAGCGTCAAAATGCTGTAACAGAAACAAGCCACTACTTTATGTTATTTTTAAATACAAAACCTTTCCAAGGAAAAATACTGCCTGGAATCTTAGTAGGATTTCAAGATCAAGTTGACAGATGAATTCTATATCAGTTTGTTAAAGTCATTAAAGTTTCGGCGTTCAGGTGCACATGAAAAAGAGGAGGAAAGAGAATGACTTAATTGTGATACCAAGATGACCGGAATGTTGTAACCACTTGATGCATCCCTCAACCATCTATTCAAAGCTTATCTGTGATAATTCTACTATATTTCTATCAAAATGTGGAGATGTCTTCCAATTGAATATTAGCAAAAGATGTTGATTACTTGGAAACTTTTGCCAATGACGCTATTTCATAATTTTCAATTCATATGAAAAGATTTCTTGAAACATATGATTTTTTTTGTATTTTCGGGCTGACTTCCCTATTATATAAATAATGATGTATAATATTATTATGCATTAACTGTAACAGAAGCAGATAATTTTTATAGCAGTTACTGAATATTAATTGAAAAAAGAAACAGAAAACATGATACATTGTCTCTTAAATTGCAACTTTTGTAGCAAATAAAAAATAATAACAGCATAAAAATAATAAAGTAAAATATACTCTATATATAATAAGGTGAAAATACAAGTGATTCATCTGAAAAAAAATTGCTGGTTACATTATGAAGTACACAGGGTGATTCAGAATTCATCATCAATATTTAGTGGGGAGGTAGGGAATAGGAAAAGAAGGAGATTTTACATAGGAATGCATGGGCGCATGTAGTAGGGCAAAATGACCCCAGTTCAATGATGGAAATAACACATAAACAGTAAGTAGTAAGGGAAAAAACATTTATTATCTTACATGTAACATTTCTTTGCATCAGTTTTACAGACTTACAAGAGGTGCTCAAACTGCTGACCATGTGCTAGAATGCATGACTCACAATGGCGTTGCATGGACAACCAGACCTTCTGGAATATGCCTGGCATTTACATACATATCTGCAAGTTTATTTCATGTATACCGGTTCATGTTACTTCTTGCAAAGTCAACCAATCGAATGACAACTGGCTGCACACATCAAACAGCTATGTATGGAAGTCTTGTACACACAGCACCCTCTACACCACCATGCATTCGTCTGCGCCCATACTTTCCTATGTGAAATCTCCTTCTTTTCCTATTCCCTACCTCCCCACCAAATATTGATGATGAATTCTGAATCACCCTGTATACCCACTTAACAAAACCTAAGAGGCACAATAGAAAAATAACCAAATAAAAAAAGTAGACAATTTTAATTTTTTTTTGGGGGGGATAACTCTTCAAATGTTCATTACTCTTAATAGGATTTTCCCCATACTATAAATGATGCATTAAACAGAATTGAAAACAGCATACATGAAAAATCTGTAGATTGCCAATTTAGATATGAGAAATTTAAAATTCCTATGAAAGCTATACTCTGCATATGAAAACATGTCTTTTTCATGAGTTAATGGAAATTTTAATGCATATGTAAAAAGTTACTGAAACACTGACTCCTTTCATTTTAAAACACAAAGATTTTTAGAATATAAAAAGAACCAACTAGGGCATTCTAGTGTTAAATATGACATCAGCAGACAATTATAACACATATCTTTTTAGTTTATGTAAAGTGTATATTAAAATTTATACACTTGAAAGTTTCATTCATTACTATAACCAGTGAGGAGTTACTTAACCCATTCATATAAATAAAAATACCACAGAATATAGAAAATGTTAATGAGTCCTTTAATTGTCAAAAAAGATCTCCAAATTTGAATTCTGTTACAGTCAAAAGTCGTTAATCCGGACTCGTCGGGACTTCGGCGATTCCGGATTATCGATTTTTCCGTATTATAGATCATCAGTTTAAATCTGGTAAGGTGGCATGCAGAAATTATAAAATTAAAAATATGAAACCGTAATTTATGAAATAAAGAACAATTATGATCTAAAGGGTATCAAAATTTACAAAAAGAAAAAGCTTAATATTTATTTGTTTACTTTATTAAACATTTCTTTCAATGTAAGTTGTTTAAGTTGCTTTGTTTCATGTGATAATACTTTCTCTTTAATTCTATTAAACGGACATAATTTCTTGTTTAGTTACAAAGTTCTGCTGTTCAAGTCCTGTAATTGCTGAGTCGAGAATACCGACTAATTTGTCAATCGAAATTTTTTCGTTTTCAATAACATCTGCGTCACTTTCTTCAATATCGGAAGTGAATTATAATGACGAGGAACTTGATTTAAATCATATCAAAGATGGAGTACATCAAGACGAAATACTACATTTAGTAAAGAATTATAAGCCGAATAAAATAAAAACATCTGCCCTGAAGATAAGGATAGTGCTGACAGATCAACTTCCAATTCATTGCGCGCTGCGTCGTTTCCCTTCCCCCCCCACAGATCAGCGTGAAATTGATAAACATATTTCGGAATGATTAGATAATCAAAGGATATGCCTTTATTCATTTTTTTGCAGCAATTCCACTTTCTGTTTAATGGACTTCGAAACATACTTTCGCTTTGTAGATCCTTTACATATTAGTAAATATATATCGGAAATTCTATTTGACATAATCGAAAGTTCAAGCTTACTTTTATAAAATTGCTATAACAGTCTGCAAAAGCCGGATCTAATTCGAAGATTAAGGAACAACGCAATCTGCAACATTAACTGAATTAGATCATTTTAGCTTAGCTTATACCATCTGTTATACATTAAACGCGCATGCGTAAACATATTATGCGCATGCGCACACGCATATTCGCAGCCATAAAGGTCTTACGCGCACGCCTAAACGTCTGTGTAGCTTTGAGGTCCGGATTATAGATCTATCCGGATTATGGGCATCCAAATTAACGACTTTTGACTGTACGACATTTATGATGCTTTTATATCTGATGAATCTAATGATGAAGTAATGCTACAGTATAGGAGAAAGATAGCAAACTGATATAAATATATATACAACATAATTACAATGTATTTGAAATTTGTAAGAACAGAGAATCTAATGTATGTAAATCTGAAATTTGTAATCATCCAAAAATATATAAATAAATTCTATATTCATATATTTTCAATGTAAATATAATTAGACGCATGTAGTAAATATTTAAGACTGAAGAATAATTTATAATCAATCTACATTCCAAAATACAGTTATTACATCATACCAATAACAATGCACTTCAAAAACTTAATTTTCACTTACTTATGAAACAATGTAGGATCAATTTGATGTTCTAAAATATAACTAAAATATGCTTAAAACATATTAAATAAATATAAATGGTTACATTAAGGTGCTACCACAATTTCAAAAGTAGATAATCGCTGCATGTATGATCAATATTTTTTCCAAAGATAGAAAAGCTTAATGCTGTAAATACATTCAGTAAATGATAGTTCCTTTAAAGAGACTGCAATTGATATGAAGACACCTTACAAATGGCTCACCAGTTAATCACTCAACATCTAATATCACAGTTAATACAGTAAATATACACTATACTACAGCTATCAAATGTCAAACAGCTTAATAGGCATTGTTTTTCCTACCCAAAATCTTTAAATGGGTTTCCTCTTTGACTTCTGTAAACCTGCTAAGGGAACATTAAAGAGGGTACAATGATCTATCACAGCATAACCTGAAAGATTTAAGCGAGGAGACTGACATAAAGTAAAACCTCCTCATTTCAGTGTTTTATAAAAAAGTAAAACAATCAACAAAGTAAAAATATAAAAGAAAATATTTACTGTCAACATGGGGTTTGTATCCCCTAAAAGTGCTTAATAATATAAGTAACTCAAACTTAGCCACAACCACAAATTTGAAATATATATCTATACAAACACATACATTTATATGTGTATGTATACATATAAGCAATATATATATATATATATATATATTAAGAAGGCTAGTGATGTGAGCAGCAAAGAGGGCCCTTCTGATATTTTCGAAATGCCCTCTTTCCCTCTTTAATGGCACTGCGTAAAAAAGGCTGGAGAGCGACCAAGGTTGCTGCTAGCACCAGTCGTCTTCATCAGGATCATGTTGCAGTGGTCCCTTACGATTTGTCTTTATGACCATCGTCAAAGGTTCTCGTTCTCTTTGCAATCGTTCTCGCTCTCGCTGTCCAGGCTTGTAGCCATTAGGTAAGGCTGAAGGCAAATGGCGAGACCCTCTACCTATAGCAGCAGCTGCTTCAAAACTTAAAGGCTCTGCGCGTGGTCCGAGGGCCGTTGTTGTGAAGGTAGTATATGTGTTATCAGCTCTCGTGATAGTAGCAACTTTATGCGTTGGCTCTTCTCGAAGGTGCGCATCGCCAACAGAGAGTGAGCCTGAGGTGTGCATTGGCCCTGCTGTCCTTTCCCTCCAAGGAGGGTGCTGCTGCTGACTGTTCAATAAGGAAGCATGGGTAGGAGAGGCACTCAGCTTTGGGAAGTTGATGCTTCCAGGAGAACGGCTTGGTTGGGGTACTGTGGGTGAGTGTGAGACATCAGGAAAATTGATAGGATCTGAGGAAATAATATCTAACCGTAGAGTAGAGGGCTTTGTAGGAGTGGGAGGCAACCTCCTCCCTCCTCCAGGCCTTCGCTGAACGACAGGAAGGCTACGCACAGACGACGGGCTCGGACTACGAGATCTATAATGCAGATGAGAGGTTCCATAATATTCACTTTGTGTTGGGGTAGATGGACTAGGACTTGGAGTTCTAGAACGTCTATCGAGACGAACACTTGGGTAAACGGGACTGTGACTTCTACTTCTAGAATGAATAATTGGTCCATATTGCCAAGTAGACTTAGGAACTGGAGATCGACCTCTTGTGGGAGAATAATCCCTCTTTTTACCTAATTTGTACATTTAGATAAAATAACAGTTAGAAGACATTGTAATGCAAATGTATACTATTTAACAAAAATATTACGATAATCAGTTTAACAAAAAATACAAAATTGTTCACCTGTAATAAAAATTAATGCATTCTGCATGCTTGTTACAGATAATTAACATATTGACTGCCCAACACAAGATAACTCGTATTAGCGCTCTCTTTCTGGATGCTCAATATGAGTTATCTTGTAGTTTCTTGACTTGCCACTTTTGCGCTTCTATGAGTTACTTACTCACTTAGCTCTTGTTTTAGTTGTACCAAGGTGACAAGTCGAAGCATGTCTGTACGAATTAACTCGTAGTGGGCTTCTGCGAAAAGCTTTGTCTAACAAAAGCCGACTGCAAGATAATTCGTAAGATCCTTTCTTCTAAAAAAAAAAAAAAAAAAAAAAAAAAAAATGCTGTAAACTTTTTAATGATTGTTAGGAATCATAATTAATATTTTTAATAATACAATCAAAAGTCGTTAATCCGGACTTGGACTTCGGCAATTCCGGATTATCGATCATCAGTTTAAATCTCGTAAGATGGCATGCAGAAATTCTAAAATTAAAAATATGAAACCGTAATTTATGAAATAAAGAACAATTATGATCTAAAGAGTATCAAAATTTACAAAAAAAAAAAAAAAAAAAAAAAAAAAGTAATATTTATTTTTTTACTTTATTAAACATTTCTTTCAATGTAAGTTGTTTAAGTTGCTTTGTTTTATGTGATAATACTTTCTCTTTAATTCTACAAACAGACATAATTTCTTGTTCAGTTACTAAGTTCCGCTGTTCAAGTCCCGTAATTTCTGTGCCGAGAATACCGACTAATTTGTCAATCGAAATTTTTTCGTTTTCACTAACCTCTCTGTCACCTTCTTCATGTCTTTATACATTTTTGGCAGCAATTTCACTTTTTGTTTGATGGACATCGAAACATACTTTCGTTTCGTAGATCCTTTGGGAGCTCCAGCATCGGAAATTCTATTTGACATAATCAAAAGTTCAAGTTTACTTTTATAAAATTGCGCTTACAGTCTGAAAAAAATAATAAGCCAGATCCAATTCGAAGATTAAGGAACAAGGCAATCATCAAGATTAAATGAATATAAAGATAAAATTAAATGAATCATAAGATTAAATGAATATGTATAATTAGATAATTTTAGCTTATACCATCTGTTATACTAAACGCAAAACGTATTCGCGCACGCGAAAACGTATTCTGCGCTTGCGCACACGCATACGCACAGTCGTAAAGGTTTTATGCGTACACCTATGCGCATGTGTCAACGCGGCGCATGCGCAGAAATTTTTAGCTTTGAGGTTCGGATTATAGATCACTCTGGATTATGGGTGTCCGAATTAACAACTTTTGACTGTATAATATGATTCAATCAATTTGGTTTCTTAAACCGGAATGCGAAAAGTGACATGGCAGTCAAAGTGTTAACACACGTATACATGAAACATGCTAATTTAACCATTGACATTATTCTTAATAAGATATTCTAAAAGTAGAAATCAGGCAATATTTTAAATGAATGCTTGATTATTTGACAAATAATTCTTGTAAATACATACTTTTAATCAGACTTTTTGTTTTTTTATATAAATTATGTATGAGTTTTATGAATATTTCTGCTTGCTGTCTTTAGAAAAAAATGTCTTTTTCCTTCCACTAAAATATTAAACTAATAAAAGTCTAATTTATTTTATTGCATACAATCACATTCGATTTTTTAAGCAGGCTATCTGGAATTTCAAATTTTGTCTTATATATTCAGGGTGAAATAAGAGTTTTATCTTGTTACGTAATACCTTAATATGAGCTAAGTTTGAAAGTTGTGTGTTTAAATATATATAATACTGATTTCTAAAACACTTTAATATTATTTTTGAATGATCAAAATACAGCATTTGCTTCACAGTAGAAATGAAAAGGAGTGTTAAAACACTTTTTCAGGAATTAAATAAAAATTAATATAAAATCAGAAAAAAACATTTACAAAATTAAAGACTTCATTGCACAAACCATAATGGATAATTAGAATTTAGAAAATATTAGGAACTGTCAGCATTGATATCTGTGATAGGAAAAATGGTGCATAAAATAATACTTATTTAGATACACAGCAGTGTGCCAGCCAAATTCGGAACATATGGAATAGAAAACAGCAAGACACCAGTCATGTGTATCTTACAAGAACCATTTCAAGCTACTTTCAACTTCCGCAATACTAAAAAACTATTATACCTACAAACTTGCAAATTTGTAGTTTTAATAAAGCTTCCTTGAACTAGCTTTATATATTTTTTTCTTTCAGTAAAACTACTTTCTTTAATTTTAGAATTGTTACTGCTACATAAATTCTGTTTTCATTCTTTATGATTTATAATTTTTATCACCAGTGCTTTTTATCTTTCTCAACAGATGCATATTTGTACCAGTAAAAGTGATAATTCTGCCAATACTTTCATCCAAATTTTTGCAAATTTTCATATTTTCTTTAATTGTTTTATTCTGTTCATCATGGGAATAATTATCTATTAAATAATATGAGCATAACAAATAAGCCATCTTCCATCTAGCCATCTTCTTGTTGCCTTTAATTCTCAAAGTTTGTTGACAGTATATACACCTCTACAGTTTTATTACCTTTGCTTTTTTGTCAATAAAGCATTTATTTTGCAATCTGTAAGCAACGTTGATATTCATTTTTATTAGGCTTAGGCATATTCATTTCTTATGCTTAAGAACAAGCGTTGTCTTTCATGTAATTCCAAACCTTAATTTTGCATTGTACTCACATATATTTTTTAATTTTTAGTAAATCTGAACTTTCATCCCCCTTTTAATGATAGTACATAATATTTTATAAAAATGATCTTTAGTTATTTCTGGCTCACAAATTAATTGTCCATATGACTATTGTTACATATTTGAATTAAAAAACTTTTTAAAATTATCTACAGGCTTGTTGTTCATGGTATATATGACTCTGCATTCTTTAGAATGAGCATCAGCTTGTTTTTATTCTGCATAGCCACTTCCATTTATGTCATGTTGATTACTAATACCACTCCCATTCATAATCATTAAACACAGGGTTTGCACATATTTCTGCATACTGAAATTAAATATTTTTAAAGAACATTAATAAAAAAATCCATTAGCAAAGGAAATTGAATAAACTAAAGCAATTATCTATGCCCAAACTTCACTTTTGTAATACTTCTGTAATACACTTTTCTAAGAATAAAATAAATCTATAAATATGATACATTATCATTAAACATAATCTAATACTTAACTATACAACAAATTCAAGAATAAAATCAGTTTTGTAAAATGTATCAGGTAATTAGAATTAAATTTCAAAATTCTTTCAAAATCTACACTTATAATATTTAAATTTTACAATTATAATAGTCTCACATATTTTAAAGAAGATTAGTGACTTAAGTTTTACAATTATCTTTGTATTGATTTTTCTTTTTTGCTTAGTTTCATCATATTGCAGCTCAGCCCAGAGATTTATGCAAATTTTATGTCAAGTGGCATAGGTGAAAATGAGAAGTAAAACCATAACAGAAGCTCAGCTGTTGACACAGCTGCTGCTTGCTAAGAGAGACACGCTGATCAGAACAGATGTGAACATTTGACACTGATAAGATACTTATATGTCTGACTGAGTAGCTTTGCAGAGTTGCTGGAATTATAATCCAATTAATGTGCAGCATGTAATATAAAGTTCTAATACGCACCAGAAGTGGTAAGGTATTTTATATCATTTTTAAGTCTCATTAGCTGTAAGGAATAAAGTTTTATGTTAATTTTTTCACTTTTGTATCATATATCTACAATAAGAATTCAGGAAAGATGATACCTTCTAAGCGTGAGCAATTAGTTAAAAGTATACATGGTGATATTATATAATATACATGGTGATATTATTATATGAATATTATATACATGGTGATATACCCTGAATCTATATAGATCTATGTGGTAACTATTAATTTCTTTTATTTCTAAAAAAATATCTGTTTAAAAAGCATACATTTCATATCATAAACCTAAAAACGTTTTACAGTTTAAAATTATATTATATTATACACTATAGGAAATTATGCATGTAATTTATGATATTGATTCTAAAATGATATTAGGATAGAAAACTACAAAACATATGTTTCATAGAAACAACACACAATCTTTTTGTTTGAAAATTTTCAAGATATTTTTACTAATTTACATCAGTTTTCTTCTCTTTAACATCTTTTTTGTTTCAATAAACAAATAAACTTTTCCACTAGTCTCCACTGTATTTCATAATTTGTTAATGCTTTAGCAATATAGCTTTGAAGAATACCGTATTTGACAGCATATAAGACGCGTCCTTATTTAGAAGGCCACACACATGTAGATGTAGAAAAAGTTATGTGTGTCTAGACCTTTATCCGGGATAAAAATAGCATTCAGTATTGAAAGTTAACCTCTGCCCTTCACGTATAAGATGCAAGTAACTTTTTTGGGACCAAATTTAGGAAAAAAAGTGTGTCTTATATGCCATCAAATACGGTAATTTTCTTTCTCTTTATGTAATCAATTTCTTTCTCAATACAGATTCCTCTGTGATTTAGAATTTCAGATTTAATTGAAGATTTCTGTTATGATGAAGAACTGCATGTATTTAGAATGTAAAGAAGATGTTAATTCTATTTCTTTAATAATATGAATACTGAGAATAAATATGAAATGACACAAGATCAGGGCAGGCACCAGAATCAGTGTAGCAGAATTTTTAGTGAATGCAATGAGCAATGAGCAACAGAATTTAGGGATGGCAGGGACTTTAGAATCTAGGACAGACACTGGACAGCACAATTTAGGACCCACAGAGACTGCATCAGGTGGCAAAATGTTTAGTGCTAGCCCTGTGTATGGTGCAATGAGACATATAAGGTGAATCTTTTAAAGTGTCAGATTTCAATTCCTTTATTAATAGAAAAATTCCTTTCTACAGATGCATGTCCATGTGACAAGATTAGAACTATTTTTGCAACTTTACATGCATGTATCTAGTGAAAAGATGAGAAAATAAAGGGAAGATAAACATATCATGAGAAAGACTTAAAAGAAGAAAATTAAGAAATTCACTATATATTTCACATAAAATGTATTCATTGTGTGTTAGTACGATGAAAACATCTTTCGTTTGGTCTTATTTTTCTGGAATTGTAAGAATAAATCTTGTTTTCGAATCCTTTTAAACCTTCCAAGTCGCAAGGTCTAAAAATTATCTCTGCCAACTCTGTAAGAGCAAAAAGCCAGAAAAATTTTTAATAAAAAATTCAGAAAAAAAAGTGAATTTTTAAGAGAAAACTGATGCACATTAGAATATTCTACTTTTTTTTTTAACTACGTGAAAAAAAAAATCGAATGAAGAACTACAAAACAAGAAGAAATAAATTTATTTAAAAATAATTAAAATAGCTTTTTTGCTTTTGCTAAGAAGTGCTTCAGAAACTGTGTTTCACAGCATTTATCATCTTATTCATTTTTCAGAATCAAAATATTCCTAAATAGCTAAAATGGAAAGTAATGTAATTTTAAAATATTACATGGAAAAATGTATTATTTTAATACTATTTCTTAGCTATAATTTTAATATATTATCATTATTTCAATGATAATTATTAATTTTATTATGTTTGTAAAAAAATCGTCAAAAAATTCCCCCCCCCAAAAAAAACAGATGAAAAATTTTACATGTAAATTAATCTTTAAATCACCAAATTTAGCACTGGATAATGAAAGAAATGATATCTCAGAAAAGGAAAGGATGCTTTTGATGCAATATTTTGTGAACTCTTCATTCTGAAAAAAAAAAAAATTATTTTGAAATGTCAAATATTTCATCGAGGCAGGGGCTTGCTCCCTACTAAAAAGTAGGAGAGAATTCAAATGATCAAATACATATTTGTCAATAAATCGAAAAATATTCTTTCCAAATGCTTATTCATCCTCAAAATGACAGAAATGTCAGGTGAGTGAAATTAAGGACCTTTGTCGAGTTGGGCCGAACGTCAATACTATTATGGACCAAAATTAATTTTCCCCAAACCTAAGGATTTTTAAGTACGAGCCCTATAAACAGCATCCAGCATATTTCATCTAAATAAAAATGGTTATTTAAAACAAATACATATTTAGTAGATATCACTGTTAAAATTCTGGATGATAGGCATATGAAAACTTAAGTCATACAACAATAATAGAATGACCCCAAAAAATTTAAAACAAAAGAAAAAATATCATAGTAGGATTTTTCAACTAAAATTCCATCAATGTAAAAGAAACTGCAGAAACTTAGATGAACATGTATGAAGTATATTGTAGAAATTAAATAAAAAGAAAGTCACTTTACTTTTTTTATACTGCAGGGAACATTCAAGAAACTATGCAAATGGTACATAAGTGGTGCCATAATATTCCTGCTCAACTGACAGTTCAGCTACTAAAGCAATCACTAATCCTGTTTGAGATAATAATTTCATTCCAAGAATCTCATAAAAACATATCAACATTGCTGATAATATAATGAATCTTGAGATTTTATTTTCAAATTGTTTAAATTTGTTCTGATATTACATTTTAAATAATCAAATTATTCTGATATCAACAGGCTGTAGTTCACTTGCACAGGTGAATAAAAACAACCTTCAGATTTGGAAAAATCATAATTTCTCAAATGAGCCCTCTTTTTCTAATTCTCAAATTTTTCTAAAAATCTTTCTTAAAAATTAAGGATTCTGCAGTTTAAAGAACAAAAGTTCTTAAGAACTACGACTCAAGATTTTCTTGCTTTCTCATGACAGGATTCTTAAGCACAATCATCAGTTGAACATTAATAGAAACTTATCTCTTGATTTCAATGCCAACTGTTTTTCTGACAGAAAATTATATATATATGAACTACTTGTGTAAAGTCCTGCCAAAGTTCTTTTACAAAAACAGTTCAGAACAGAATTTACTCCCATGAATTTATATTAGTCAAATTAATTTAGAATACTATGTTTATTACTAAGAAGTAGAAATAAAAAAATGGCAAAATATGGCTATTTTTACAAGAAACTGCATTTTTTTAGCTTTTTGTACAACCAAAAAATAATTTGAAATTACAGGTTTTAAACTTTTTTTGTGTTCCTCATGCCCAAAAATTCACATTAGGAATTATAGTATTTCAACAGTAGTGAGTAAAGTAACTATAAAAAACTGAACATAAAACATAAAAATTTCATCATTTTTCAAAACTTTGAATATGATGTGCAAACAGAAGATATAATCTGATTTGAAATTTTTTAATTTTTTAATTTTGCTTACTTATGCAATAAGCCATTTTACCAGGTATAGTGATAGAATAATAATAATAACAATACAAAAAGTAAGTATTTTTTCAGTCCATCCTAATTTATGCCATTTGGGGGGGGGAGTAAATGTAGATAAACCTCAACTGAAGATCTAACCTCTAGATCTTCCTCTTCTTTTATGCTCATGGACAAATTCAGCCATTCCAGAAGCAGCTTCAGAGAAATCAAGATCATGGTGTGGGCGTCGAGGTGTTGGGGAATGGCGAGTAGGGGGAGGGGATGTAGTACGAGGAGGCGTCACAGATGTTCTTCTTCCATATGAAGGTGATGAAGGTCTCGACTGAAGAGGCTGGCCAGCAGGTTGCAGATGACCATCTCTTCCCTGTAACATTGTAAAATTTTAAGCAAATTGAAGAACTAAAAATACCAAACTTACATCATTCAATGAAGCCATAAAATATATATTTTAGGATAAGGAGTTTTTATCAAAACAAAGTTTATTAATTTGATTTGAAGCTCCTTTACCTAGAATTTATCAATAGCTATTAAAATTGTAGTGGATGTCAAAGGTATTAATGCTGAAAAGAATTATGAAATTTTTGGAAAGTGATTTTGAAAAAGAAAAATCTTTAGAGAATTTGAAATTTATTAAAAAATATATGCTGTACAGGGATGGAAAAATAATAAATGATCATGAATATTTACATCAAATTGAATGCAGTATTTATTATAGAAATAATCAAGCATTCGTTTCAGTTCTTTTTTTCAATAAAGTGACATATATTATTCTCTTTTGAGTCCATCAGATAAGTATTGTAAAAAATCCTTCTTACTACCTTAGGACCTGCAAAAAATCGATTTTTTAAAATGATTTTTAAAAAGTCATTTTGAATATTAACCCTCTGGAGGTTTTGAGAAAGATAAGGTATTGTTTCCTAAAGCATCACCAGCTTTGTCATCAAAGCTTTTGAAAAGTGCAGAAGATCTCTTCCACTGAATGCATGAAAAGTGTTAAGTAGTTTTTCATCCCCCCACACCTGCGGAGAATCATCAGGAGAACTGATTAGTGACGGCTGTAAAAATATCAATCACTGTCAAAACTTTGCTCTTTGGTAGTCTTCAAGAAGGTAGCAGTTGTGATCTGACTTTTAACAGTAAGTCAGCGTTTATGTTACCAAGTCTAAATTTTGTAAAAAACTGTAAATCAAGACATTAAAAGGAAATAATTATAAATGTTTCATTTTTTCCCTGGTTATAAGACTGCATTTTTATGTATGCATGTAAATGTGTGTGTACGTGTTTATATATATATATATTAAAATTTTTATGAGCACTCTATATGCAGACGAGCATAATATAAAAATACTTTTGCATTTCTAATAACCTTCACTTTAATTATTTAATTTACCTTTTATATGTGATTGCTTGCCTAGGATGGAAGGAATATTTTCTCACTGAAACAATTTGATTTTCGATATGTTTTCCTTATTTTCTAAATAAAATATCTTGGGAACTTTGAAAATTTCTTATTTTATTTACAGCTTTGGGTATTTTTCATCCAGAGTTTATTTGAAACCACAGATATAAATAATATTTCACAACTTACTTGATATAATGAAAGAACTAATTAACTAAACATGAAGTAAATAACTTGTTTATTTGCTAATCATATCATAATAACAGACGTCTAAATTTTTGTCATGCAATTTTCTGCTTTTGTGTATAGCAATAAGTAAGGAAAGCTGCGAGTTTATTAATTGTGCCATAAGGATATTGTTTTCTTTAAAATCTAAGAAAATATTAGTATATTTTACTATTCCACTACTTATATTTTTTGGGCGGGTAAGAGCAAATAAACAGCTGCATTTAGAAATCTTCATATTAAAAAATTATAAGAGCATTAAAGAAAAAAGAAATTGGATTTTGATGCATTGATTTTTATGGTTTTATTAGTCTCTATACCTTTAATTCTTTCTCTCTCTATATATAGAAAGAATCAAAGAGAGACGCTAGTCTAATGCTCTTGGTGCTTATTTATTTTTTAATTTGATTTAATTTGATTATGGCAAAGCACTCAAAGGTGATTCGCCTAAGGATAGCGATGTTTTCGTGGAGGAGTTTCTGAGGGAAGCTGGCTCGTATACACGTTGCATGTGGGGAAAACAAAGAAAACAGCTATGCAGTGAGTTCGTTTGTGGGACTCCTGGGCCGAATTACCAGCATTCAGAAAATTTATTGCTTGTCTGCTGATGGGCCAACGCTCTTGATGCATTTTATGCCACATGTGTTTTTGTATGTGCAGTTGGAAAATTGAAAATATTTTTTCAAAATATTTAATAATAATTAGTTAAATAGGTAATGCATAGTTTTAATAAACATTTTCTATCAGTATTACTTTCAGTGTAGTTACCTAATGCAGAAACCTTGAAGTTTTAAAATATTTATATTTATAATTTGGTTTTTGATACACTGAATTAAGATCATTTCCCAGAATTCACTACATTCTTAAATATTATTTTTCAGTATAATAATATGCAATTATTTTTAAAGGGTGTAAATTGTGAAAGTTTTGAAACATGAAAAGAAAAAAATTATGTCTGCACTCAAAAAATGCAAATCATAACGAATTTTAAAATAAAATTGTGTAGAATTGTTCATGATTAGATTCATTTTCCTTCAGTTAGGTTTTCTCAGGAATATTTGTGTGCTAATATACATGCTCAAAAATGCGAACATTAGGAATTATATCAAACATGCATTGAAGTAGAAGTAAGCTTTTCAGCATAAATGCAACTAATTTCAACAAATACCCGGGATAATATGATTACAATCTACCTGAATAATTAAGAATTTCTGGGCAACAGGTTTGCTTCCTAGAGGCTTATACTTATTATTATGCACATGTGAGAATAATATTTTTTTATATATATAGAATGTTTTCCCCACGTAGGGTTTGCAACAAAAAAAATTAAGATTTTAATTTCCGTAAAATAAAATACAAAACAGACATTCTACGCAAAACTGAAGTGTAAAACCCTTTTTTTACCAAATGCCAACATATTTCTACTTCAACTAAAAGAAGAAATTTAGTTTTGTTCAATAACTGGCTGCTCAGTTAAGATATAAATATCTAATTTTTTTTTCCCTGCTTTCCTCCAAGAAACTAAAATTCAACAAGATACCTTTTTTTTACGAAACAAAACACGTAATTTATTCATTTACAACTAAAAATAGTTTAGACTATTTGGATATTGCAGAGCATAAGAGAGCTATTTATTGCAAACATATGAGGGCTGCCATCATGAAGGGCTTTTCTAAGGGAAAATGACTTTGCACAAAACACCAATGCAGTCAGCTCATTCATCTATGTTCGAACCTAAATCAAACTATCAGTATTCAGCAAGTGTTTTACTATTCGGCTACTAGCAAGGTTCAACTAGCCGAAGCCAATTCAAAAATTTTATTCGTATAGAGAACTAAACTCGGCACCTGCAATAAGAGAATTCTAGTGTTATTAGTCTAGTCTATTCTTGTGCTCTGTCATTAGCTAATTTTAATGCAATTAGCAGGTAATGGAAAAAAATAAATGTAAATTACACTTTAGAATTTTCCTTCACATTGTTCTAAAGTTTACAGTGTGAGCCCAGTTAAACAAACAGAAAAAGATTAAGTTATATATGTTCAAGGGGTCCTGAGTCCTAGGCAGCGGAAAAAAAGTATTTTTACATCAAAGGTACCATATATAATACGTGGAATGACAATGCACATTGCCTTTCATTTTTATCGTCCCTCCTCTAATTTTCGACACATATTCTGTTCTTTCTTCTATTCATTTTACATTACCGCTTCTTTTCAACGTGCACCCTATTTGAAAATAGTTAATCTGTTTTTAGAAACAAAGGCCAAACATTTCTCAGTATTGCAGGAGAAAGAGATTCAGTAGAATGTAAGAATGCATTTCTGTGAGTAAAATTCTGTAGCAAAATCTGCAAAATGCTTCCATTTTATATATATATACTTATATATATATATATACATATGTATGTATTTACAAATCAGTTTATCAAAATCGTTGTTTTTTTATCCCAAAGGGGCTCTAGAACGGCTGCTTGTCTCAAAACAGCATTTTGTAGTGTTTTGATGCTGATTCACCCGTTAAAAACAAATCATCTTTTAAATTGTTTCTATCAAATCTTATTCGCCTGTATTATATTAAGAAATTAATCATGAAGAATCTCTGCAATATGTGTATATTTTCGCACCTGGGAAAAAACGACAATGGCTAGAGCCATCAAATTTTAAAACTAATCCTCCACCCGAGCAGCGCACCTGGAAACCTTAATTTTTAATTCACTACTTATTATCTCTTGATATTTTGTAAAACTTTAAGAAATTTTTTGATAAAAACTCAAAAATTTCAAAGCGAGAGTGCCAACCTGTAGGATAAACATTTTATCTCCAGTGTGAGACTGTATATCGAAAATTCTAAAGATATCCTGATTTTAAATATTTTATGATATTGCTGTGGAATTTGTGTGGTTTAAGCGTGAAGAACATGATATTTAATAAATAAAGATAACACACAAAATGTAAAAAGAAGTCCATTTGGGCGTAATGTAAAATCTTTCACATTTTATTTCAATGTGCTTAATTTTATGATTCCTTTTTAAAGCCCAAATGGGCGTTAGCCCAAGACTCTTAGTTTCGAAACGGCATATTACATCGAATCACTTTAAATGCTCGAATCATTTTTCCGAACTGTTGCCACCAAATATTATCGCCCTGTATTTATTTAAAGAACTAAATAATGAGAATCTACTCAACGTATGTATGTTTTTCGCATTGTCACATAGTTCTCCACCTGAACAAGGGCACTTAGAATCTGGAATTTGTTTTTACTGTCTATTTCATAATCAACGGATTTTTGATTAAAAAAAAAAACAGTTTCAAAGCAAGCAGTGGCAACACTGTAAGGAATCAAACATTTTTTGTCTCAGTGTGTGAGCCTGTGTATCGGAAATTCTAAAGATATGCTGTTTCTAAATATTTTTAGCCCAAAAGCTCACAAAACATGTATATGTCTGTAAATGAAAAAAATTGCCCGTTTGAACCTAATATAAAATCTAAAAGGCCTTCATATTTTTTTTGTTTTCCTTTTTTAATTATTGTTTTGGGTACTGAACCCAATTTTACATAAGTTTTCAACCAAATGGTTTACACTAGCATTATTTTATCATTTTTTATAAAACGTTTTAGAAAAGTATTTAAAATTAATGGATCTTGTGTCAAGTTAAAGAAAGTGCGTAACTGTCATAAGAAAAACTGAAACAAGGACGATAAAAAGATTTCACAGATCATATTTTTAAACTAATTTAATTAGCT